TTTTAGTGCTTCAGCCATACTTACTTTTCTTGGTCTGCCTGCCGAAGGCATAGTTGGACTGTTGTCTTCGAATTGTGCGTTAATACTAGTAAAGTGGGTGTTCGATTTAGGCTGGCGATTTTCTTCGAAAATACGAAGGCAGCCAAGCTCCATTTTATGTGTTATTTTTATTTAATGTTTTGTTAGCTTAATTTATGTGTATAAAATTATACTTCACTTAGTGAGTTAAATATAAATTAATAAGAAAGGAATTAATGTTGTTAGCGTGCAGGCTTCGCCATAATATAACACTTAGAATTAGTAACTTAATTGGTCGAGGACTTCCTTGTCACGGAAGTAGGTGTCGGTTCGAATCCGATCTAATTCGTGGTCTAGGTTAGATAGTCTAGATTATAGATTCTTTTTTTTTTTTACACTTACTCGGTGCCTGCCATATCCCGAACGAAGTTCGGGATCAGGAGAACGCACCCCTGGTTTTATAATCAAGGACGGAGCTATCTTTATTAGGTTATAGCTCTAATCCCTCCCGATGTAATCCTACTTTTTTAAGAGGGATTTGCTACAACTTAAACATGTATTATATAAGAAATATACAGGAAAAGTTGCTATAGGTAGGGCGAAATATTTGCTACATATTGTGTATTAACACCTGGGTGTTCGATTCACCTCTTTTCCGATCTCTAACTCCGTGCCTGCCTTTTCTGTTGTGTACTCCGTACTCCTGCCAGCCTTCGGACGGAGAAATGACCTTCGGAGAAGTCAGGCCGAAGTACCTGCCATACTTACTTCCTAGTTAGGTAGGCAGGAGGTATACAAATATATTTTTTTTATTAGATACTTTCCTGGGTAGTTGTTTATCTCTTTTTTAATTTCCTTATACATTGTTTAGTATCCGGAGGATCCCGCTTTGTACTTCTAATTAATTATTCTTATATTACTTCGTTAACCAAAGGCTTTTTATTACTATAATATGACTTTTTATACCCTTTATAGTCTTGCCGAAGATATGAGGGGGGGGTCTCTCTAGAATACAACCAGTTAAGCTGTAGGCGTTGTTAGGGTTATCCTTTAGTACCTAATCCCTTACCACCTAAGGAATTAGGTGGTAAGGGATTAGGTATAATAAAATAATAAACAACGGCTATCATTTAATGGTAGGATGTCTGTCTTCCAAACAGAGTGTGTCGGTTCGATTCCGACTAGCCGTATATTCCTTTTTTATATAAACCAAGGAGTAGTTTTATTTTGTTACTGGGCTCCGCCAGCAAGCTCCTTTTGGCTGTTATATTTTCTCAGAAGTATGTCAACATAGTTGGAAGACGGCTTGCTGGGCTGTACTTCTGGCCACACTGACGACTTCGTACGGCTGGCTACGAAGTTCTACGTACGCAGCACTTGCCTGACAATGTAGGAGTACTTCGTCGTCAGCCCAGTCAGGAGTAGTTTAGGAAAAGAAGTATAGCAGGAATAATTTCATGCGGACTTCGTACGAAGTCGGAAGAAACGTATAAATTCAACCTTTATCTAATGTATTGTTAGCTCAGTTTAGCTTTACTTTATTAGGTAGGCTTCTTCGGTCGGTAACGAAGTTCTACGTACGCAGGAGAAAAGCTCTCACTTGGTAATGTTAATCTAAACTGATAAGAAAGGATTTCATGAATTATATGGAAGATTTGAGATTTCATCTCTTATCCCCGCAGGGGATCAGAAGTCTCAACCACGATAATTTCAGTAAGCAGTTAATAGGTCTTGGTAGTAATAGAGTAAAAGAATTTTGGCAGTCAGACTGCTGCGATAATAGATTCACTCTTGGCTTAGTTAGTGGGATAGGAACATTTAGGTAAATATAATTGATATAAATTTCCTCAAAGAGGTATATTATTTTTTTTTATGAACAATTTATTTTTAGTTAATGAAACGTTTACAAATGGTTATCTAGCAAATATATTAAATATAATTTCTTTATTTGCAATATTCTGTGGTGTGTTTGTTATTATAAGCAAAACCCCGTTGTGTCAGTTTTATTTTTAATAGGATTATTTGGTAATATTGCTTCTTATTTAATATTAATAGGATTAGGCTTTATGGGTTTAGCATATTTAGTTGTATATATAGGAGCTATCTCTATATTATTTTTATTTATTTTAATGCTGATTAATATTAGAATAAGTGAGTTACAAAGTAATACTAGAAATACTATACCTTTAGCTATCACAATAACAATAGCATTAAATTATCCTTTATTTAAATTGCTACCTTATGATGTGGCAATATTAAGCAATAATTATTATATGAATAATGTTTTATACGATATATCTTTAAACAAATACAATTCAAATTATTTTAATAATTTAAATCTATATAATAATAATTTATCTTTTGTTACTAGTAATATGTGAGATGGAAATTTAGCCGAAACTGGTCATATTACAAGTATAGGTAGTGTGATGTACACCAACTACAACATGTGATTACTAATAGCTAGTTTTATACTGTTATTAGCAATGGTAGGTTCTATTGTTATCACATTAAAACCATTTGTACCGTCAAATAACAATTAGTTTTCAGTTGTATCCCGAACGAAGTTCGGGATCTGGATTTTTTATGTTTAAATGTTTAATAAGGGAATAACTCATAACAAAAGTTTCAAGTGTCCATCTATACTGACTTCTCCTTTTGCCTAGCAAATTAACTTCGTAGTTAGCAGGGGGTACTTCGTTGTCAGGCAGCCTGACTGACAGGCAACCTTCGGCAGCAGCCAAGGAGGAGAAGTCATCGTAATTGTGATTATTTTAGTGCTGTACTTTTGTTGTGAAGCTAATAAGTATGCCTACGAAGGCCAGCTTTAAAAATTTTTATTTCGGAGGTCGTATTATATTATAAAAAAATTGAGATAGGGGAGTTAACTCTCCTCTAGCCAAAAAGAAATTAGCTCAATGGTAGAGCAACCGTTTTACACACGGAAGGTTGGGTGTTCGAGTCACCTATTTCTTATCCAAACAGATCCTGATTTCTCTGTCTGATACTTTTCCTGGCTGGCCTACTTCGTCAGCTAGAAGTACTCCGTACTCCATATCCCGAACTTCGTTCGGGATCAAGTAATAAGCTAGGCAGGACAAATAAAAGATTCCTTGACTTAACGGTAAAGTGCATTTTTGATAAGAATGATATCAGCGTTCGATTCGCTGAGGAATTAAAGAGAATTGACCGAGTGGTCTAAGGTGGTAAGCTTGAGTCTTATTTGATTTATTTAATCACATCCGTTCGAATCTTCCCTAGGAGGATAAACATATAATAATAAGAATATTAATTAACGGCTAGGATTAGTATCGAAGGGACTCGCTCTACTTAATATGTTACTTTACTAAAAGTACGTCTCCTTCAATCTGTCGATCTCTTACTTTTCTGGCCATGTACTTCTTGTTTAGATCTTCCCTCCGGGGAGATCCCCCTTGCGGTGGATCTTAAGATAAACAAGAGGTGATCACTTAAAATTAAAATATTTAATCTTTATCTAGTGTATTGCTAGCTCTATTTTCATATAGTTATAGTTTAACTACGATTGGAGAAGCATTATATGACTCATTATATATATTTTCGCAGGTGAATCCAATCCTGTAGAAAAAGTAGTTGCTATATTATGATAATAGATAAGAAAGGAATTTAGGTTATAGAAAGTTATCTATAATTAGTTTTTTATAAAAAAAATATATTTTTTTATTAAAAAACTACGCAAGCTAGAAGCAGGTAGTTCATTATCGGTTATATCAAAGTGGCACAGGAACAAATAGGTCAATACATTAAGTATCATTCCCCTGAGGGGTATTTTAACTAATTAAAAAAAATGAAGAAATTATTATTTAAATCTAAATTAATGGCTAGAGACTTTTCCGATTGTGTTAATGCTAAATCATTGAACCTTATGAATCCTTATTTTCTCACAGGATTCAGTGATGCAGAGTCTACCTTTAGCGTGTCAATGCGAAGTAAAAGCAACAGCAAAGGTGGGGTGAAATGAGTAGTAGAACCCGAATTTCAAATTGGCCTTAGCTATAAAGATGAAGAGCTCTTGAGAGCTATCAAGGCTAGTTTTGAGTGCCATAGTAAATCCGGATTGCGTGTAGGCAAAGTAGGAAGAATACAAGTAAATATAATAACAAAAGTTTTTTCAGAGTATCCTCACTAAGTGAATTAATAGAGATAATAGATCACTTTGATAGTTATCCTTTGCTAACTAAAAAGCGTAAGGACGAGCTCGCGCCTTAATTTGAAGAGAAGTGATCCTAAGAGTGCAACGTGGAGAGCATCAAACTTTCGAGGGGGTTCGATATATAGTTAAACTTAAATCTGCTCTTAACCTAGGATTAAGTGACAAGCTAAGAAAAGAGTTTGACATTACCTATGAAGAGGAGAGGGCAGCAGCCTTGAATAAATGTGAGCTAGGTAATGAACAATTATCAATAAATGCCCAGTTAATCGCAGGATTTACTTCAGGTGAAGGAAACTTTATGATTGGATTAAGAAAAGAGGGTAAACTTGGAAAGATCCCACAATTACGTTTTCAATTAACTCAACATTCACGTGATGAGGAGTTGTTCAGAAGATTAGCTTTATATTTTTGTTGTGGTAAGGTGTATGTGCGTAGTAGCAATGGTCGTCAAGCGGTAGAGTTCACTGTACAAAATTTTTCAGAAATTCTTGAAAGAATTATACCTCTCCTTCGTGATAATCCTATTCTGGGTATTAAAGCTTTAGATTTCGCAGATTGATCTGCTGCGGGTGAAATCATGAAAGTTAAGGGACATTTAACTCAAGAAGGGTTAGACCAAATTTGTCAGTTAAAGGCACTAATGAATCAAGAAAGAAGTATAGATAAATCTAGTCTAACTGTAGAGGGTTAATTATCCTTAAATTCACTCTCTATTCATCTATTTGAGTGTACATCTAATTCTAAAAGGGGTCCTAGTTAGAGATAGTTTGCCTCTTACCCCACCCCCCCAAGAAGATTGGCCGAGTGGTTTAAGGCGTGCTACTTGAGATAGCAAGAGTAAATAAACTCCACCAGTTCGAATCTGGTATCTTCTGAGAGTTCGATGTTCAAGGGCAAGATATTAGAGTATTCTTACTTTCAGACGTTAACTTCAAGTGAAAGGTAGAGGATATTATCTGTTTAGCTGAAGGAGGTACTGCTGGTTTCTTCTGTACTTTATTAAGAGTAGCCAGTATAGCACGAAGGTCCGGGTACGCTTTAATAGGACCGACTTTCTAGTTCGTATTTCATACTTCGTACTACTTACGGCTAAAAATAAAGAAGGACTTCATCCTTTGGCTGCAGGTCTGGTTCAAATTGAAGTTATAAAAAGTGGAATGAATATATCAATAAACATTCTTAGCTAATCAAGGCGCAGGCTGTTTTAATTTCAGTACACTTTCTTTGCATATTTCGGTCTTTTCCTTATTTGGTGTGCATCTATAAGGGAAGACCTCTCAACGGATTAGAGCCAGGCGGTTAGGCGCGCTCTTTGGGAGAGCGAATAGTTATGTTCGATTCATAATAATCCGAATTGGTTGAGGGCTGCATAGCTCAAGTTTATTCTTTTATTTTAAAGATCGAGCTTCGCCATGTTTAAAGGATAATAGAGGGACTATCTAATTAAACTGGATAGTCCCTAGCAAAAAGGGCTCTAAGGAGTTAGGGAAGATTAGGTGCGACTCCCTCAGTTCTTGATGATGAAAAACCTTACTATGGAACTATTAGATTTATGCTTTTGCTGTGACTAACTATTCTACTTTGATTAGTTCACTGCAGAAATGGGGGATTTGAGGACATAAGGTTAGGGGTAGCTAATCTTTAGGGTGCGACTCCCTACTCCCATTGCGTGTATTTTAGGTGCCCTAGCAATTATTGCCAGCGCACCCTATTTTACACTGTTTTGTTTACAATTAATATACTAGCTGTTTACATTAACGATCGCCCAATTTGAATTTGTGGTGGCTTCGCCGCAGCAATTTTACGAAGGACCTATTTAAGGATATTTAAAGGCTTATACAGAATAACTATATTACTAAAATATGAAAAGAAATTTCCAATCTTTGAACTATTTTAATTTTTTGCTGGTTGTCCATGGCAATCTTTTGAGCTATTCACAAATGCCTGTATATATTATATCATCTAGAAGCAAAGCTTCTCAGTTAAGATTAGCAGTCCATAATAAAAAAGCACTAGACATAGTAGCAGATAACTCGCCCGGCAATGGTAGAAGGTATTTTTCTAATTCTACTCGTCTATTCAACAAGAATAATGGTTTCAATAATAACTCTAATAATGAAAGTGGTCGTAATAATATTTCTAAATTCTTATCGCGTATTACCATTTCAATGATTGGGGGTATAACAGTTAAGAGTTTATTTTTATCTTGATATAATGACACTTTTAGTTGAATAGGACTTTGGGAAAACATTTATAGCTTGCATAGTGGTTTAATGGCTATTGGTGTATTGGCTGGAGGATTAATTAATAAATTGTTGGATTTTACTCCTTTGAATATTAATATTAAGAACTTTTTAGTAGATCCTTCATTAAAAAGATTGAAAACTCTATTTTTATCTTGAAAAGAGGCGCGAGCTCTCGTTTTAAATCAAGATAGAATTCCGATACAAGGGCAAGCAGGGGGTAATTCTGGTAGTCAAGTAGGGGTTGAAAGTACAACTCCTTCTGGTAGTCAAGTACAACCTAATGACGACAGACCTTTGCGTAATAGACGACGTTCAGAGTTTGAATTAGAAAGGGCTAGAGAAGCTAAAAAACTTCAAGTTCCTAAAAATGCAGGAGAAAGTGAGGAGGACTATGAAAAAAGAATAAATCGTAAAGAAATACGTGATTATAGAAGATCTAAGATTGAAGTTAGGGGTACCGCACATCGTTCACCAGAAGCGTTAAAAGTATCTCGAGCATTGACCGAACTTACACTTGATCCAAAACCTGGAGAAAGCCAAGAAGCCTTTACTAAAAGAGTTAAAAGAACAGAAGCGGTAAGGTATAGCAAGTTCAATAAACTTACTAGTGGTAGTACTATTATTCCGGAGGATACAAAGGAAGAAATAACTAATGCTAGAACTGAAGCGCAGCGTAGAAAGTTAGAAATACAAGAAGGTAAAGCTAAAGCGAGGTCTGAGCTTTTTCAAAGAGATGGAGAAAGTGATCAAGCCTTTAATAAGAGAGTTCAAAATCGAGAGAGGTACGTACGTAAAACGAAAGATCGAGGTAGCTCTTATCCAGGAATAGGTAGTAGTCGTAAGTTTAGTACTTTCTCTAACTCAACTAAACATTCTTTTTCTAATGGTAAATTGAAGCTTCGCCTTTATAGACCGACTTATGGGCTACGCCGGGATCTTGGTAAAATTAGTACTAAATCTTATTCTACCTATAGTAGAAATCTAATTCTTCCTTCCGCTTATCCGGAGGATCAACAAGCTCGGCTAAAGGACAATGATGGCGCAAGCTCGAAGCTTAATAATAGTATATTTTTAAAGAGAGCTATTTATAACTTCATTAAAGTTTCAATTCATAATCTAATTCCCGGGGTCCACTTCCAGGATTCCACTGCTCTGATCACATTTTTAAAGGAGTTTGATCCTGGTTTTAATATGAGTAGAAAAAGTATTCATAACTATAGAAAGAGAAAAGTAGTTTTGAAAAGATTTTTTATGAATTCCGATGTGTCTAGGTTCTTTGCTTATGTTAAAAGCAGATTTCCTGAATTTAATCCTTCTGCTTTTTTGCAGAAATACGCCTTCGGAGGGAACCTGCATGCCGACTTCTGCGTAGCCAGCCAAATATGGCTGGAGGGCAGGCCTAAAAAAAAATAAGCCAGCTATAATTAGAAATAAATAAGAAATGTAAATGATATATTCGCTAAAAAATAGTATAAAAAGAGACTATTATGGAAATATAAAGCCATGTGTTAAAGAGAAATTTGTTATCTTATGGAAACATATAAACTCTAAGATAAATTACTTGATAAACGAAGCGAATTGAAATATCTTAGTAGCTTCAGGAAAAGAAATCAAAAGAGATTTTATGAATAGTGTGAACGAAAATAAAATAGCCTATAAAATAAGTAAAATGGTAGAAAAACTGTTTGAATAGATTCAATTCGTTGGGCGTTCCGCAAGGTTGACGTTTCGGTTAATTGGATGGTGGGGAACCTTCCTCAAAGGCTAAATATAACACATGAGCATCAGAGAATTAGTACCGTAAGGGAATTATTGAAATAGTAGTTTTATAAGCAGCTCGAGTTGTATTTGAAAACAAGAGCGTACCTTTTGCATATCGCGACACAGAAAGCTGTGTGTAGTAATGAGGTGAAATACCTCCTAGTGTGCAACCACTAGCCTCTATCTAGGCGTGCGATTGGAGTAATCCGATGGTGCGAAGCCCTAGAGACAATGTCTACGGATTAGGGGAAGAAAACTATGGTTATCGTAAGAAAAGATACATTTAAAAATTCGTAAAAGGTGTTTCCAGTAGTTTAGAACACTGGAAAATGGGGCATGGGCTGAGCTGTTATGCGAGCGAAGGCGTTGCCAAAGAATCCCCCGGATTATAGTATCAACCTAAGGTTTTTGATAAATTGTGCTACACACGGAACATGTTAAGCCCCATAGCCTCCTTATGATCCAAATTAGTAAAGAATATAACAGAAGTGAACACCAAGATCACCTAGTTATTAGTATTGAAATGTCATAAGGAGTAGTTTTATAAGGTCAATGGGGTAAGATCCCGAACGAAATAAACTTATCGGCTAGGGGGTAGGCGAGAGACTAAAAAGCGAAGGCCATCTTGTAATGAGATGGATAAGGTTGTGGAAGAGACCACCGAAAACGGAATTGAGAGATATTTGAAATGTATAACCCAAAAATCTTAGAATGTCTCAATAGATCACCGAAACCGGAGTTGACCATGATGAAATTCAGGATAAACATCCTGGAAAGTAGTGATGACCTGAGGTGAAAGCCTGCAGACTTAGTTATCAGTGCCCTAAGTCATTTTATTCAAACTCAGCGACTCAGCCCGGGTTCAAAGCTGTCATCTTACAGTTAAGGAAACAAAGCAGTATGGAAGAAGTTCCACGAGTAGAGTTAAAGGATAATAATGAAGTGAGTTATTCGTATAGAATAACTCCCAATAAAGAAAATAACGTCTCGGACAGGTAGACTAAAGATATTTATTGATAAGGGGGCTCAAGCCGTATGCGTTGAAAGGCGCACGTACGGTTTCGAGAGGGGGGAGTTCCAGTAATGGAATTCTTCTACTCGGGATGGGTCACCAAGTTAACATTAGATGCGAGCTAATTAGTATTGCGTAGTTAAAACGATCATAATGTAACAGAAAATGATAAGTGTCTAAAGTTAGACCCGAAGCCTAGTGATCTTACTATAGTCAGGGCTATAAAGGCTCGAACGGGTTATTGTTGCAAAAATATCCGATGAACTGTGGTAAGCATAGTGAAAGACAATTCTGACTAGGATAGCTGGTTTTCTGCGAAACCTATAATAGTAGGCAATTTAAGTAACATCAAAGCAGGTACAGAACTTAATCTCAGACCAGATGTAAATTTTCAGCAAGAGTATTTATGTACTCTTTGAAAATACATTATTCAATGGTACATATCGGGGGATCGTGAAGATTTTATCGGTGAGTATGTAGACTCGGAATGGCTTAGATGGATCTTGAATGATCAGACATAGAATGATAAGGTTGTATGTCAAAAGGGAAACAGCCCAGAACAAAAGTTAAGGTTCCAAAATTATTGTTAAGTGAAATTAAGAAGGTTTTTATTTGAGTCGACAAGGAGATGGGCTTAGAAGCAGCCATAATTTGAAGACCTCGTAACAGAGCGCTCGTTAAATCTTTAAAAGCATCGAAAATTTAACGGATCTAAACAATATACCGAAACTTTGTCCTCATTTAAACATAATTTTTATTATTGTTATTTGCAGGGGTAGCAGAACGTTGGGTTATATTAGATTTGATATTTTTTAAATTCAAATAAAAAAAACTCAAGTGATAATGGTGACATGAG